TCCACAACACTAAGGCCTCTTTAGAATTTAGAAGTTGAACCACATAGCTCGAGTCAGTACTCTCCAACCATAGACTGAACCATTCCTTGTCCCAAGCATACTGGACACCAAACACCACAGCATATAACTCCACAATGTACAACCATTGACTATCCAAGGGACCAACGAACATCCCATAATAAATCTTTTACAATTCCCGGATACCTCACTGGAGTTCTGAGAATATAACGATGCACGTTTTTAATCATATTGTCAAGAAATTTAAAGAAACGAAAATGTTCTACACGATGGTTATCATCTCAACAAACGTTCTCAAGTATAAGTTTCATTGTCATTTACTTACGAAAATTGTACGTACCAACCCTTTGAAAACAAAAAAACCCCCCTTGGCGAAGAGAGTATTTGAGGAATTCCAACCATTGACTTTTTGTCAATCGATACAGTGAACAATTTGTATTGACAAACAAAGAGAATAGAAAATTTTCATATTTTAGCTTCCACTTGTTATAGCTATATTCATTTTAATTTGTATTAGAATAAAAGAAAATTTAATTAAATAAACAAAAAAGATATAAAATTATATGAGGACCTAAACCAAAACAAATTTGGAGTCATTAGACTTGATCTGACCTGACCTGCCTTCAATTTTTATAAATAAATATATTATGTTGGATGACCTCTATAAAGATAATACATTCATTTAATTATATTTAATATTCCATAAGATCCTCTTTTTTCCAATTAGAGTAATATTTATGTATGTAGAGATATTTGTCCTTTCGTTTTTTAGCTAGTTTTTCAATTACTATCACTGTTTGGAGATGAAATGGACGTGCAAATTGCCTTATTGAACGATTTCTTCGGTAAATTTGACAAATTAAACCGCGTTAACAAATAAAAGTCAAATCATCCATCATCTACGTTTATACTGACATTAGGAACGCGCATTAGAATGCTCGAGTATTGGAAGGGTGGTTAAATGTCATACCGAAGCTCAAGTCAATCTAATATTTTGGAAGTAGCAAAATAAATGGACACTACCCCTAATTTGTTCTGAAAAACACGAGGTCCACTGTGCTATCACATGATAACCACCATTTTGAATGAAAAATTAAAAAGATATATCCACGTAATCTATCATAATACCCTCTACTTAAGATTCATTATAATTTTATACAAAAATTCTCCACAACTGGCAAATTCGGCGCGCGAAGCGTAACCTTATTTTTTAAAGTTTGCTACAAGAGTACATCATACTTATAGTCCTCCAATGAACCAATAACAATTCTTTAAGCGGATTAGACTTGATTTGACTGAACCTTTGATCTCTACTAAGATAACATATTTGATAATGAGGCTACAGTTCGTGTCTATTCATCAAATTAACTACCAAAATACAAAGTAGTTGGTCAACTATATGTCAGATCGTACGATGAAATGAATTAAAAGTCTCCTAAGAACATTTTTTTTAAAATTCTTTATAGAGAAGCAATTGTTCACATTTGGCAATTCATGTAGTAACAACAAAATTTGTTGACTAGGTTATTTCGATGCTCCAACAATATTATGTAAGATTTTCTCAAATTAAAACACTATTTTTTTGAAGGCATTGAAATACAAATTTTATTTAACTATTCAATTTAAAAGTTTAAAATATTAAAGACGGAAATAATTATTTACTTATTGTTATATCTTTAGAGCTTGTTTGGGAGAAATTTTTGAGGGAAGAATTAATTTTTGAATAGTGATATGCTGGGAAATGTGTGATTGAAAAAGAAAAAAAAAATTATTGATGTGATGAAAAATATTATTTATTGAAAAATGTGTGGTTGAAATTAAGAATTGATTTACCGTAGAATTTGAAAATCTCTCCCAAACACCCCCTTAATATGTAGATTTTTTTCCCACTAAAATCTTGACACAACATTTAGCCCCTGTTTGGTGGCCTTTATTTTTAAAAAAAAAAAAAAATCTGTCTGACATAGTTTGTTTTTAAGAATGTGTGGTTAAAAAGTATGAAAAAAATATTGGGTTTACGTGTAGAATATTTTGTTGTGTGAAAGTATGGTTGAAAATAAGTATGAAAAATAAATTAAAGTAAAGTAAAGTAAAAAGAACCAGACATGGCTTTGTGATTTATTAATAATGATAAAACTTGATAGTAGAACTCATGCTTGTTCTGTTATCAACTACCTCATATAAAATTTCAATATGTTAAAGGGGAAATAAATTATTTTCTTATATTATAACTTCAATGCTCTTGTTGGCAAATTCATTTTTTCACTAAAGTAAAATTACATGCAATAAATTTGTAATTTGGTAACCCTAAAAGCACTTGCAATAGGTATTGTTTAATTCCATCCTTTTATTGTTAGTAATGTTATCTAGTACCAGTTTTAATATCAATTGAAGTAAATGACATGTTCAATCAAATGAGCTCTATATCCGTATATTTAGTTGAACGTATGATCTAATGACACGTTTTTCTAACTAGGTTAGTATAAAGACAACTAAATTTTCTGTTTTATACACATTCTTTCAAAATACATTTTTTCAAAATTCATTTTCAACCACATATTTTTTAATAAAATAATATTTTTCATCACATCCATAACTTTTATTTACTTTTTAACTATATATTTCTCATCATATCACTATTTAAAATACATTCATTCCTCAATAATATCCATCAAACACACCCTTAATATTCTTTTTCAAGATATATTAAATCCATACTTAACAAGATTTGATCATATTCTTAGCCCAAATACATATGCAAAGCACTCATTCAATCATAAGATTATCACACGCGATCGCACACGACATAAATATTATTCATAATATCTATTACCTGTGTGCTAAATATGCAGTGTTCTACTTATTGTAAGTCTTCCAATACTGTAAATAAGCAACTTATTTATCTATATGGTGCTCAAACATTCAAATAAACATAATTAATGCAAGTTAAATCACAAACACTAAAATTAACTAAAAAACGATAAGTCTTGAATTAAAAACTATAAATCAATATGTTTTGTCATCCGTCTAATACACATAATACTTAGCCTAGCATTATCATATCAAATGTGTACAAAAGAGGAGAAACGACATCAACCTAGGCTAAGTACGTAGTGAAGAACGTGAAAATTCCAATTCTTCACTTGAAACTTGACCCAAAGTATGAAATTCCACTTCTTGAATGTAAACATATCTCATTTCTTGCTCAACTACGATGAAAATTAGGGTCTTTTTCTTTCTGGACATGCTTCCATCCCTATAGAATGCCAAAAAAATTAAATTCTATAAGCTGCCAAAAGAAAAAAAAAGTAAACATAGTTTTTTTTTTTTTTTTCAATTTTAGACTTGAGCGTGTGTCCTAGTATTAGGCGCACCCTCTCTTGCACAGAAACAATTGAGGTACGTACCTTGCCTGCAGGTGACGGCACAAGCCTTAGTCTTAGGTTTAACTTAGCTCCTGAACTTTCCTCCAAGGTAATTTTCGTCCTTTTTCAATTCTTTTTAGTTTATTTTCTTATTTTTTGTACAATTAAGTCCTAGCATTCTCAAGTCTTCATTCTTCGTTTCGATCCAACTTTGGATTATTTGAATGTTAGTCCCTGAATTTTAGATTTGATTCAATTTTGGCCTTTTCTTGTTCATTCTATCCAATTCCACCAAAATCGTTGATGTTCTCCTACAAAGCAATATTTACTAGAATTAAGCTATATTTCAAAGAATTAATCGACAATTATTCTAATTTAACGGCACAAATAAGTGTATACAATACACTTATCAAATACCCCTGAACTTGAACATTTGTTGGTTCTCAAATAAATTATAGCCTAAATCAATCAAAACTTGGTTCGATGGCATGTCGTTAGTCTCGGGATTGAAATTTTTTTGTTGATACTATGAATGGTGTCAAAATCACATATTTGAAATTAATTTCTACTCATTCAATGCGAAACTCGAAGATGTGTGTGAAGACTTATGTAAAACATCACAAACTCATGATTGGTTCAATTCTCAACTCTCAATAGTCAAATGATTACTTTCTCCACTCTGAGATACCACAAACTTATACTTTTCACTCATTTTTCCCGAAGTGCATTCTTAGGTTGAAGTTTAGCTGATTTTAATCCTTAGCTTCTCTAATTTGGATAGATTTCACCAATACAAGTTAACTCTTTAACAAATAAGGATTCTTCTATATTTTTTTACTGCTTCAACTCTTAAGACTCAACTAAGTTACTTGCCTCTTATCAATGGTTTAGTTTTTTCCACCAAGTGTTTGGTGCTTAATCAAAGCAAGTATTGTGTCTTCTGTTTCATCCACTTGCTTTTTTAATTATGTTGTACGTATTCTGTTTCATTTACTAACTTGATCCCTTATTGACTTTTCTTTTTGGGATTTTAAATAGGTGTCCTTATTGGGATCTTTTAGGGTAGATTCACAACATGGTAGCTTTTTCCCCTTTTCATGCTTGATTAGTGTGATGCATCTTATTAAACACTTAGGTTTCACAACCAACCCCTAACTCAAGACTTTCACATAATCTTCATCTTATTGGTTTTAGACAATCCACACAACAATTTCACACAGAGAATCCCTACTCATTTCAATGTGCCCCTATACCAGTTCAATAATCTACA